TGATTATTCAACGCTCTCAGATTACAAACCACAACAACAACAACAAGTAGCATCATCAGCATCAGCGCCACGCGGGCTATTTGTAAATAGGCAAATGAGTTTGTGAACTCCCCTCCGCCTACCCGCCGACCACCTCCGTACGGACGCAGCACGCGCACAGCTCGAAGGCTCAGCTGGAACGCTTCGTAACAACAACTTTGCGTGCCCCCCCCCACCCCCCAAATCCCCATCCCCCCTTTGCCTCTCGACGATTTTCATTCGACGACGTCGCAATGATTGCTAATCGCGAAATCGTTTCCCGAACGTGAATACTGAATGTACCTCTATAGCGGTGCACGTGTTAAGAGATCGTCTGTAATATTCTTGGTTCTTTCGGTGAAGTCACGTAGAAGAGAAATAATAAAATAATAAAAATAATACATAATTAATTAATATACTATTATAATTAAATAACATCGCTATATTTATTATTTCATTATTTCCCTTCTACGTGACTTTACCGAAAGAACCAAGAAGATGAATCCCTGCAGTCACGAAAGCTTTAAATCGAAAAAAAATCGTCTGTAACCCGTGCGTTCTACGGTGTACACATATATCTATGGAATCGATACGAACATTCTACAATCATCGTAAAGGGGGTGGGGGTGGGAAAGCCGAAATTTAACGACGTATAATTTCATCTGGATTATAAGACGCACTCCCCCCGCCGCCCTCACTAAGTGTCTCTCTCTCCCATCATCACGGTGGCTAGGAGATGTTAACTACTTCGCCTGGTGTGCAGGAGGTCGCGGGGTCGATCCCGACGCTGACGCCTGCTGCTGCTGCTGTATATTTTGAGTTTGCGTGTCTCCCTCTCTCTCATCATCATCACGGTGGCTAGGAGATGTTAACTACCTCGCCTAGTATGCAGGAGGTCGCGGGGTCTATCCCGACCTTGACGTCTGCTGCTGCTGCATATTTGGAGTTTGCGTGTCTCCCTCTCTCTCTCATCATCATCATCACCACGGTGGCTAGGAGATGTTAATTACCTCGCCGGTGTGCAGGAGGTCGCGGGGTCGATCCCGACCTTGACGTCTGCTGCTGCTGTATATTTGGAGTTTGCGTGTCTTTCTCTCTCTCACTCTTTTTCTCTCTCTCTCCACGTGGTCGCGTGGATTTTTCTCCGGGTCCTCCGGATTTTCCCTCCGCATTTAGCATCAACGTCGCGCGTTCAGTGTTTGGCTGCCGCTGTAAATGAGCCACTTCGTTTAACTGTCACTTGTGGCCAGCTCGCTTTTGACAAAGAGCTATAATCGTTCAGTGGTGTCTTACCTGTTCCAATAAAAATAGTAAATCGTTTTAGTGAGTACGGTACCCATGTTTACATACGGCCAGTACGAGTGGATTTACTGGAGTAACCGCAGCCCATTCAGTCGCGACAAACACGCGCACGGACACACAAAGATCCCCTATATAGCCTTAACAGACTTTAGGGGCAAGTGCTGTTAGCGAGCACCTATGAAGGCCGGTACGGTACACGAGGGGGTGGGTGGCCAGCACCACGCCCGACCGCCTTTGTCTCCCTAGTGGCGATGTTTACACACCGCACCGGGTACTCATTTGAGGCTGAGTCGACCTAGGGGATGCCCGGGACCGATTCAGATAATCGTGACTGGTGTTGGCCGTGAGCGGGAATCGAACTCGGGTCGCCAGGTTCGTAGCGCAGCGCGCTAACCGCTACACCACCGCTCCCCACACACACGCACGCACACACACACGCGCGCACTGATACACACATTGACACGCACACACACGCACTGACACACACAAACACGCGCACTGCTACACGCACTGACACACACACGCACACACAAACACGCGCACTGACACACACACGCGCACTGACACACGCACTGACACACGCACTGACACGCACACACACACGCGCGCGCACTGACACACATACGCACTCACACAACACAGACAACGACTCCCACCCCCGTGTAGCCTTAAGGGCCATCCACTTAGTACGTTACGCATGGAAGGGGGGAGGGGGGGTTCACCCAAATGCGTGTGCTTGCGTATGGGGGGATCTACTGACAATGTGCGCATAGGAAACGGGGGGGGGGGAGCCTCGATAATAATGTGTCTACATTGGCCTTCAACTGAGTTAGATAGTCCGGCGGTGGACTATCTGTTTGCTTAAACACGTCAATATTATTAATCCGTGATCGTTTCTGCGTGGATTAAATATTGGCCGTTCTATAGGATTCGGGGGGGGGGGGGTGTAAACAAGAAAAATGTGAAATTTGACATTTTCTTGCTGTGGATTTCACACCTGATGATGATTGCTTGTGTTGCAGTCGAAACATCGTGAGAATTGTATTGTTTTATATTTTTATTATTTTATAATTTCCCTTCTACGTGACTTTACCGAAAGAACCAAGCATATACACGTTTAGTTGCCAGAAAAAAATGGGGAAAACCTATTATCACATTTTGGTACTGGAAAAGGAGGTCCCGTGATGATGGAGAGTATCGGTCGCGAAATTCTCCTCCGCCAACTGCTTCACTCCTCTGCTGCGTGTTGAGCTTGACCACGCATCTACTCGCGCGCGCCTCTGTGTCTTCCGTTCGCGGTCTGCACGATCTTCGCGTTTCCCAGCCAACTCATTGCGAGTGCCTTTGCTTTTTTGTTACCTATGTCGATATCTTTGTGTGCGTGTGTGTCTATGTATATATCCACACACGTTGCTAACTCGCCTTGCTAATGGTGTGCACTTAATCCATTTGCATCACTTAATCCATTTGGCTGAGCCGTCGAACAAAAGGCGGCGGCGCTTTCAGATGCGCTTCTGTGGCCGTCTGGAACGCTCCTCCCTGCCGATATGAGGACGCCGTTGAAGCTTTGCAACTTTTAAGTCTCGACTTGGAAACGCATTTCCTTATAAATGCTTTTTGTGTTTCGTTTCTTGTCCTTCCCCGCACCTCCGATTAGCACGGTTGGCTACGTACGGTGTGAAAGAAGTTCAACACACATAATGCTGTGATGACTATGGCCTCACGGGTAAAGCGGACATAGAAATTATTCCGCTACGTAAATGTGTTAAATGAATACATGACGATAACATGTTACGTACAACAATATCAATCATGTCAGATAATAAACGTCATCATCACGTATCGTCGTTATTATCATCAATCAATCAATTACCATAATACAAGTTTTTGTTGGGTTAGATCGCGTAAATATAAATGTGTCGTTAAACCCGCCACCACCCCGACACAGCCCATGAGTAAGGGTTGTCACGTAAACAGAACGTGCCAATTCGTCACTAGTACAGCACTAGTGTATAGTGTAGTGTGTAGTGTAGTGTATAGTAGTGTATAGTGTAGTGTATAGTGTAGTATACTAGTACAGCACACCGGCGTGTTGGAGAGCCAAGCCGCAACATTTACAATATGAGTACGACGTGTCGCCAGTAATTACAACCAGCTTCATCAGGCGGCAGCCAGATTACCATAATCATCAAAAATCGCCATCATTATTACTCAATTGCCGTACCACTTGTCGTCAAATATCGCCATCAGTATCATCGACAAGTCTCATGACCGACGTCAATTTTTATCGATCAATTATCAACATCAAGTCGCGTATATTGAACCAACACTGGACCCATATCTCAAGGGAGTTTCCAACGGGGCGAGCCTTTGCACCGAATCACATTCGATGGCTTCATCGTCATCACATCAGCAACACAGCCGCGTATCGAGTGATAATCATTATCATCATCACAATCAAACGTACGTTAGGTGTCAAATGATCGATACGATTAATTATCTTCTTGGTTCTTTCGGTAAAGTCACGTAGAAGGGAAATAATAAAATAATAAAATAAAACATAATAAAATCATTTTCACGACGTTTCGGCCACAACGCAAGCAGCCGTCCTCATGTGAAGAATAGGTCTGTCGGAAAGACATTCAGACGCTGTCTTTCCGACAGCTCTGTTCTTCACCTGAGGACGGCTGCTTGCGTTGTGGCCGAAACGTCGTGAGAATTGTATTTTATTATGTTTCATTTTTATTATTTTATTATTTCCCTTCTACGTGACTCTACCGAAAGAACCAAAAAGATGAATCCCTGCAGTCACGAAAGCTTTAAAACGATTAATTATATTATCAATGCCGCAAAATCACCACCACCACCAATACACACATCTGCACAGTCCCCACGTGCGGTTAGCGAGCGCCTATTAAGGCGAGTTGGTGTAAGTCAGCACCACGCTCGACCGCCTTTGTCTCCCCCAGCGCCAATGCTTTCCCCACCGGGTACTCATTTGAGGCTAAGTCGACCTAAAGGAGACCCCAAGGCAAGTTACGTTACCGAGTGCCACTGACGTTGGCCGTGAACCGGGGAATAGAACTTTGGTCTATTGGTTCGTAGCGCACACACACAGTTACATATTCACCCACCCATACACCAACATACATATTCACACGTATACACATTACCACCTGTACACGGTTTAACAAAACCAAAGTCATATATCTACATATGAAGATCACCCGTATAGCCTTCAACAGACTATTGGGGCCAGTGCTGTTAGCGAGCACCTATCAAGGCCGGCACGGCACACGAGGGGGTGGGTGGCTAGCACCACGCCCGACCGCCTTTGTCTCCCCAGCGCCGACGTTTACACACCGCACCGGCTACTCATTTGAGGCTGAGTCGACCTAGGAGAGTCGCAGGAGAGGTTCAAAACAACGCCGTTTGTTACTGGTCGGGTGGCCGGATTGGTAGCGCAGTGCTAACCACTGCGCCACCGCTCCCCCCCCGACACAGATCATTGACCCCCATCGCCACATACATGATACACAACCTACACAACACAAACCCCGCATTTACCTCTTTTTAGGGGAGGAGGGGGGGGCATGCGCTGTTAGCGAGCACCTATTGCGCCCGATCACTCACGACATGGTTACGGACACCACGGACCCACGCGCGCGCGCACGCATCACCTCTAGCGCAGTCGAGCGCGCTCTGTCGAGAAGAGTCCGGGATTCACCACTCAGCGGCACAGCCACGGAGGGTCCTCTTCTCCACGCGAATAACCGCAACGATTAAATCCCAGGGCTTGCGTCGGGTTGATGGTGATGATGGCGACGATGGCGAGCGATCAAACGAGTTGGTTGGTGGCTGTTCGAAATCTCTCCGTCGCTTGCTCCCTCGACTGCCTCCCGATCAGTCTGTGCGCTGCTGCCCGCTCCCTCCCTCCCTCCCTCCACCCTCCCTCCCTCTCCTCCCTCCCCCCTCCCTCCCACCCCCTCCCGCTCTCTCCGCTCCGCTCCCTCCCCCCTCCCTCCCTCCCCCCTCCCTCCCTCCTCCCTCCTCTCTCTCTCTCTGCCCGTGACGCAAATGTTGGTGCGTGCCGGGCGCCCTGCCACCATCACCACCACCCACGCACGGGCGTCGTCCCCACCAGAGCGGGCTGGGCTGTAGTGGGCTGGGGTGGGCTGGGTGGGCTGGGGTGGGCTGGGCTGGGGTGGGCTGGGGTGGGCTGGGGTGGGCTGGGGTGGGGTGGGGTAGGCTGGGGTGGGCTGGGCTGGGCTGGGGTGAGCTGGGGTGAGCTGGGGTGGGCTGGGGTGGGGTGGGGTAGGCTGGGGTGGGCTGGGCTGGGCTGGGGTGGGCTGGGGTGGGCTGGGGTGAGCTGGGGTGAGCTGGGGTAGGCTGGGGTGGGCTGGGGTGAGCTGGGGTGAGCTGGGGTGAGCTGGGGTGGGCTGGGGTGGGCTGGGGTGGGCTGGGCTGGGGTGGGCTGGGGTGAGCTGGGGTGAGCTGGGGTGGGCTGGGGTGGGCTGGGTGGGATGGGCTGGGGTGGGGTGGGGTGGGGTGGGCTGGGCTGGGCTGGGGTGAGCTGGGGTGGGCTGGGCTGGGCTGGGCTGGGTGGGATGGGCTGGGGTGGGCTGGGGTGGGCTGGGGTGGGCTGGGGTGAGCTGGGGTGGGCTGGGCTGGGCTGGGGTAGGTGCGGACTGTCCAGAGTGAGCTCAGTAAATAAAGCGCGCGATGCGCGTATCCATTCACACGTTCGACTCGTCGGAAATGACGACCCTCCAAACTTTTTATTATTATTTTTAGACACTAATTCGGGATTTTCACCGCTTTAAAATGTTCAACGTTTCCGAGAAGTCAACTGGTCGATTCGAAGACTGGAACAATTCGGAATTCCGACGAGTCGAAGTCAACTGTCAATTAAGTCAGGATTTTAATTATGTCGAGTTTTAAAATTGTAACTGTTCATACATCAAACTACTGTATCGAAATGCGACTATTGAAAAATCCAGCTATTCGAAATCCAACTGCTGGAAATGTCAGCCGTTCGTTAATCGTAACTATTGAAAATGGCAACTCAATCAAAAATCCAACCGCTTGAAATTCAACCATTCCAAAATTATACAAATCGGAAATGGTAACAATTAAAATTCGATTTAAAGCTTTCGTGACTGCAGGGATTCATCTTCTTGGTTCTTTCGGTAAAGTCATGTAGAAGGTAAATAATAAAATAATAAAAATAAAACATAATAAAATACAATTCTCACGACGTTTCGGCCACAACACAAGCAGCCGTCCTCAGGTGAAGAACAGGTCTGTCGGAAAGAATTGTATTCTATTATGTTTTATTTTTATTATTTTATTATTTCCCTTCTACGTGACTTTAACGAAATAACCAAGAAGCGGTAACGATTAAATTCTGGTGTTTGGAAATTCAACTGCTGCGCTGCATTTGACAATTAACCATTCAAATGTCCAGCTGTTCCAATTTTAACTGCTCCGGCTGGCGGGAGTGCTGAGTGGCCGAGAAGCCGGCATCACTCTCCGAGCCACTGACGTTGCCGTGACCGGGCACGGGACACGAGTCGCCCTCGTTCAGTCTGAGCGCAATGTGCCAACAACCATCGTGGCCACGCCACTGCTCCCCAGAGGTCGCAACCGGGTACCCGATACCCGTACCCTACCCGATACCCGGTAGCCGTTTTCGACCCTGGTGCGGCCGGGTACGGGTGGGCCGTGAGTCACTGGTGAGAAACCGTTTGTCACTCATTTCTCAACGTCTTGTCTCTTCTCACAATTCAAGTTCCTAGAATCAACCCACCCGCGCTTGCAACATGGCTTCATCCCAGAGGTCGCAATCGGGTACCCGATACCCGTACCCGGCCGGGTACGGGTAGGGTACGGGTACGGCCGGGTACGGGTACCCGTTTGCGACCCTGGTGCGGCCGGGTACGGGTAAGGAATCAAAACCCGTTTGCGACCTCTGCTGTTCCCCCCCCTGTTGTTGTCTGTGCAGTGCCCGTGAGCTGACCGCCAGAGGGCGCATTTCCCACGCAGCCTGCTACGTTGAGCACGCGCGTCGACTCGGGCCGAACGATTAATCGATTTCAAATCGAAATCGCAATTCGAAACAATGCGATTAGGAAATCTCAAAGGCTGCGATTTTTTTTCGATTTGAAAAGTCCTGTTACTTTCTTTTCCCTTTGGTCGCGAGACGATCAGAGTGGTTAGAAATGTTGTACTGGTAGGAACCTCCTGGTTACACCAGCCCACAGGGGATTGTTGTGTCCGTCCATCGTGCAGGAAGGGGCTGGGTGGGGAGGGGAGGGTATGGAGGGGAGGGTGGGGAGGGGCTGGGTGGGTGGGGAGGTGAGGGTGGGGAGGGGCTGGGTGGGGAGGGGAGGGGCTGGGTGGGGAGGGTGGGAGGGGCTGGGTGGGGAGGGTGGGGCTGGGTGGGGGGTGGGAGGGGTGGGGCTGGGTGGAGGGGAGGGTGGGGAGGGGCTGGGTGGGGAGAGTGGAGCTGGGTGGGCGGTGGGAGGGGTGGGGCTGGGTGGGGAGGGGCTGGTCACCCCGTGGTGCCCTTATAAAACTCAACGTTTAACCTACTCACGCCGGCTTGTGCCCGCCCTCACAGTTGGGCATATTTGCGGAATACACCACGCCGCCGTTGACCCTGGCCATTGACCGAGCAACCCAACGTTCCTACCAGCTCCCTCCGCAGGAATGTGTTTGTCTTACAACAACCGCCATTCGCCACTAAGTGGCGGTGACGTCACCACGACGCTTGTGCCAGGCTATGTGCACGTTGTCTTAAGACACTGGCTAAGGGCCACGTTTGGCTAGGAATGTAACAGGGCAAAGTGGCGTCTTTGGGAAGGCAGTACAACAAGTAGGTTAACGACTGGCCCTCCGAAATGACCCCTTTTTGTTGCAACGAAATATATTTGCCCATTCTGCGTTAAATGATTCAGGTAGTTTCGCTGCTGCTGCTGCTGCGTTGGCAGCGATGCGCATTCAACAACAATCCAACACGTTCCGTGTCAAAAAAACAACAACACTGTGTGTGTGGCCTTAGCAGGAAGACTTCATTGGCGGTGTTGTGGGGCAATCGCCTTTCTTCGTAGCACGCCCGTAAACAAGCAAAGTGTACACCTTCCCACATCTGTCCCTCCACGTAAAACAATTGTTTACACATCTTATCAGTCACACACGGACGGCCTGCGCCGGTGTTTGACATCCAGCATCTCATCGGCAGCAGAGTCAGGATCGCTTGCATGTGTGTGTTTGCGTGTTCGACTTAGCGGTGGGGAGCGGTGGCGCAGCGGTTAGCGTGCTGCGCTACGCACCTGGCGACCCGCGTTCGATTCCCGCTCACGGACCAACACTGGTGACGATTATTTGAACCGGTCCTGGGCCTCCCCTAGGTTGACTCAGCCTCAATTGAGGACCCGGTGCAGTGTGCAAACATCGCCACTGGGGAGACAAAGGCGGTCGGGCGTGGTGCTGGCCACACCCACCCCCTCGTGTACCGTTCCAACCTTCATAGGTGCCACTCGCTGACAGCACTTGTCCCTACAGTATGTTAAGGCTACACGGGGTATCTCTATCTTTTATGTTCGACTTATATTTCGTACCGTACGTAGCTCATCGAAGGTGGTGCGGGCATCGTCAGAGGTTCGCTTGGAAACAATGCTGGTAGGCTGCCGGGCGCTTCGAGACAATAACCGATTTCGACATTCAGTGTGTCGTCGTCGTCCACTGAGTCAGCCTTGCTTGAATCACCGCTGTGAACTGGCACTATTTGTTGCAGGGGCACCGCGGCGGCCAGACGCTATCTTCCTCGCTTGGTATGCAGAAGGTCGGGGGTTCGATCCCGATCCCGACCCTGACGCCTGCTGCTGTATATTTAGAGTGTGTGTGTCTCTCTCTCTCTCATCATCATCACGGTGGCTAGGAGATGTTAACTACCTCGCCTGGTATGCAGGAGGTCGTGGGTTCGATCCCGACCCTGGCGCCTGCTGCTGTATATTTGGAGTGTGTGTGTCTCTCTCTCTCATCATCATCACGGTAGCTAGGAGATGTTAACTACCTCGCCTGGTATGCAGGAGGTTGTGGGTTCGATCTCGACCCTGACGCCTGCTGCTGTATATTTAGAGTGTGTGTGTGTCTCTCTCTCATCATCACGGTGGCTAGGAGATGTTAACTCCCTCGCCTGGTATACAGGAGGTCGTGGGTTCGATCCCGACGCCTGCTGCTGTATATTTGGAGTTTGTCTGTGTCTCTCTCTCCCTGTAGTCGCGTTGAGGTTTTTTTTCTCCGGGTCCTCTGGGTTTTTACCTCCACTTTTAGAGACATGCGTTGAGACTATTTTAGATTATTTTGCTGCTGTAAATGTCCAAATGACAGGCCACGTTTTTGTTGGGCTATTATCATTTGTGGCCAGGTTGCTTCTGGAAAATTAAGTTAATAACCCGGTGGGCTTTGGCTGGTAGGATGGGAATGGTTTAGAGTTTTATTTGTTTGTGTTCGGGCGATGTGATTACCTTTCCTATACTTTGCACTCCTATTGTGTTTTTAGACTGTTTGTTGTTGTAACTTTCTTACTCGCCCCTATTGGAGCTTCATAGCTCATCTGATTCCTCCAATACAAATAGTCAAAATTACAAAATAAAAACACTATACATAGTGTAAAGACAATATATACAGTATATATTGTATCAAGACAGAATACACAGTATGCATACAGTATACATAAAATACAAATACATTCTATATACAGTATAAATACAGGATAAATTCTGAGTCTAATATATATTTTTGTTTTAATAGGCAAAGGCCCACACAGGTAAAAATGTGTCGTGGAGATATTTTAAAATACTTTCTCCCAAACAAACCCAGCAAACAGACCCACCCCCACCCCC